GGGGGGGGGGGGGGGGGGGGGGGGGGGGGGGGGGGGGGGGGGGGGGGGGGGGGGGGGGGGGCTGAGTCCATTGACTGAGCGTTTGTGTTTGAAAGAGATGGGAAGCTATTAAGAGAGTATTCTGGTTCAACAGATAAAAGCGTGGAGAAGAGACAAAAGACTAAAGAAAAAGAGCTCCAAATTCTCTCATATGGGTCCTCTTCTTCCTTCTTTTCTCTGTTTTTCTCTCATTTCTAACACAAATTTGGTTAATCCCCATCAAACTCTCTCTCTCTGTACACTATCGTTGTTTTATTCCTCTTTCTTTCTCCACTTCTCTTCTTCCTTATACCTATACTAACTAACTACTACTACTACTATCACCCCATGTCTCTTCTCACACCAAAAAATCTTCAACACAGCACCAAACACACTGTACAAATGTCTCAACCAGCTCCCTCCTTCTCGACACGGTCTTTCGACGACGGTGTGGAAGTTTAGGATGACGCCAACCATCCGTGCAGCTTCCTTTTTCTCCCTAGTGTTGTTGTTATTGAGCTGTGGTAGGAGGGGGGTCCTAAGTTCATTACTTTACATCTCAATCCAACCAGCCAACCAGCCAGCCAGACAGACAGCCACAGCATTAATCTTTGTATTGAACTAACGACTATCAATGCATTTACCTGTCTTCAATAAATATCCTCCCAATAAAATCTCTGAATCGCTTGGAATAGAGCTTGGGATCGACAGCTGAGATTGAACTGGGGTCAACTTGTAAGGACTTGTATGCGTGTTCTAGTTTCTTGCTTATGTCGTAATCTTGTAAGATATCAATGATGCCAAAGTAGAGGACTACTTCATAGATCTCACCACTGCGAGATGGAGCTAAATGATTCATTCCTCCTGGAGTGTACTGATCGAAGTCGCTTCGCCTTGTTAAACGCTCTGCTCTTGCTGGCATATTGGCTCCTATTCTGATCAATGACTTTCTGTAAACACAAAATGAAAAAAACTATATCAGAGAACCATTAGATTGGAGAATCATTGAGCAGTGTTCATAATTGTTGAGTGATTGATAAGAAGAATCAAGAAATAACTCGTAGTTAGGACCATAACCTGTGTATGTCCTACTATATAAAAACTGTTACCTACTGAATAGCCCCACGAAGTGGTACAGACAACCCATCCATTTGATTCAAGAAACCCAATACAATTGATTGCAGAAATAATTGAATACATATAGTCCCAAATTTATGGTCAACTTTAACCATCACGTGCACATTAATTCACCAAGCCAGAAGTTTCAAAAGTTGACATAAATTCAGCCACTTGAGAAAAGAAATTTATCGACATTCACTCTAGAATTCACATTTCATGATAGCAACAGAACTTAAAAAGAAAAGAAAAGAAACGCACCGTCCAGACAAGACTCGATCCATGTCTTGTAACTCTGCTTCTAGGAAACGACAGCCACGCATAAACTTCTCATTCCGGTATGAATCTTTGTTGCCTGCAAAGAGCAGAGGTATTGTAACTCAGCATTCTAATGCCTATATGTTTTTAATGGGTGCCGCCCCTCAAGGCTCATGATGAAAGGACAAGCATCCCATACCAGTTCGCAGAAGAAATGGAGATAACCCCATTTTGTTATATGTGTTGTCATCCCTAAAGTGAAGACCAACCAAAAGACTGTAATCCATGATTCCTTCAGATTCCAAGAACTTGCAATCTCGATCTATTTGCCTGAACAAGGTTTCGATGATAATAAGGTTTCGAAAAACAAAAGGGTGAAGCAGAGTGAAAGAGTTTATAACTCCATTTACAGCACTTACTTCATAAAGTCATTAAACCAGTTGCGTTGAAGGCGAAACACGAAGTTGAGATCAAGATCCTTCAAAGTTGTGGTTTCGTCGATCTCCCCCTCAGGAGTACCTGTTGTCCGGCCATGGGAGGATCCTTTCAAGTCGAATCGCCTATGGATTCGGTATTCAGAGCAGAATAAGTTGCCCATCACAATGATCCGAGTCTAGTTTCCACAAATAACAAATTACTTCTATTAGATATGATCGAAAAACATGTAAGAAATCTAAATTTCAATGTCAACGATGTGCACCTTTTGCCCACCAATTGGCTTGATACAGTGTACACCAAAAAATTTTGTCACAAGGGAATCTTCATAGCGGGAGACATGCTGATAATAGCTTGCAAGCATCCTAATTAGAACCTGAGAATTGACTACAAAACTTTAAACCAGAACAACTTGGAGTAGTCTACAACCCAAGTAATCTTCTAATAGGTCTACGCAAGTGCAATGTATCATCGATTAAAAGGGAAGCAACTAACCTTGACTTCAGATTTCTTCACTGTTTTTATCATGAATCTATCATCCTGGGTGAGGTAAAAGAAACTTCCACTCTTGCCTGGCGAAGAAAACTCCCTGAGGGCATCATTCCCGCATATTGCTAGCATGTAATCAGCAGGATCAACTTGGAATAGCTCCCTCAAGCATCTGTAAACACATTGATCAATGCAGAATATCAGAACTCAAACGCATGAATCTTTCCCTGAAATGGGATAAGAGGAACAGTGGCAATCGGTACCTAAACACCACGGGACAGTAGTCCTTCCAACGAAACTCGACCGATGTGTGGGGCGGCGTAGTCTTCGACCCTTCAGTTGGGAACCGCGTCCAGAATTTCTCCCTTGGATCAAAATCACTGGGCTTAAGCTCTCGCACTACTGAAGAATGCTTCCCAACGGAATGTCTAAATAGCATCACAACAGCGTGAAATCAGAGTCAGAAAATTGAGAGAATTTGTTGATTAAGCTCAACTGAAACGACCCATCTTATGAACTTACCTGATACCCAACTGGAGATTAAGCATCAGTTCATAATTCTTGTGTCCTTTAGAAATCGTCTGGCCTGGTTTCTTGGCCTCGCCGGTGAAGCAGCAGGGGCTCCTCCTAAACTGCTTAAAAAGATCTTGATCTAAATCTAACCCATTCATATACAACATCGACGCCTCTACATTATCAATTATATCACAGGTGATATCTCCAGCTTCACCATCGGATTCCCATATGCAAATCCTCGGGAAATTCCTCTCTGTCACACTCCCTCTCGCAATATCCACCGATGATCTCTTCCGTAATGTGATGGTTAGGTTCTCATTCTCAAGCAGTCCATTGCTCTTGAAGCCAAGATTGCTTCCATTTCTTGAATAGAAAGTCCCATTCAGGTGATGGATTTTCATGTTCTTATTCCAGCTGCTATCAGCACAAGTGAACGTACCGTTCCCTTTAGAAACTCCGTTTTCCCATTGTCCATCGTATCGGTTCCCATTCGCCCAGATTAAGACTCCCCGACCAGAAATCACGCCGTTCTTCCACTCGCCGACGTACTCGTTCCCGTGCTTCCAAACGTACCGACCATGGCCGTCTTGGAGATTCCTCTTCCAAGTCCCTTCGTAGAAATCGCCGTTAGCATACCGTTTCTGGCCGAGTCCATGTTTCCGATCTGAACTCCATGATCCGCGATACGAATCGCCATCAGATCCAATAAAAGTACCAACGCCCTCCATTCGACCAGATTTGAATTCGCCTTCGTAGGTAGCTCCAGAAGGCCAAGAGAATTTCCCCTTCCCCGAGGCCTTACCTCGCCTCCACTCACCCTCATACATACACCCGTCGGTCCACAAATACTTCCCTAATCCGTGTGGTACACCGCCCGAGAAACTTCCCGTATAAAGATCTCCGTTCGGCAGAGGCTTCTCTACCGCGGTCGCCGCCGCAGTCGTCGTAGCAGCAACCAGAGCTCCAGCAGTCTCAGAAACAGCAGTCGTCAGAGTAGATTGCGTAGTTATAATCGTCGTCGGAGTCACCCTCCTATTCCCAGCTTGTGACCGATTCCGACCGACGATTACCACAGGCGGAGCAACAACCACCTGAGGAAGCCGAGTCAACTTCCCAGCATCATTGTCATCCTTATCCTCCTCCGATTTCTTCTTCTTGTTAATGCCGGAGATAACATCATTAGTCTCATCACATAACAGTCCCTCACGCATTTTTCCCCCCTCCGTCACTCACTCTCCTTCAGCGTTCAGCACTGCATTTACTCGCCTACGCCGTGTTTCAGACGCAGGAAGAGCATCTCCGGCGTGTATCTCTCTCTCAGACTCTGCAGTTTTTCCCCTTTTTTGCGCTCCTTAATCCCTTTTGTTCCTCTCTGAAAATCTCCTCACTGTTCCTCTCTCAGTTCTTAGAACTCTACAAATTACAGGAATCCAACGCTCTCACACAAACTTCACCACCATAGCCGGAATAGAAAGCAGAGAGAAACTGTAGCAAGAAAAAAAGCAGAGAGAAACAGAGACAAGAGAGAGAGAGAGAGATAGAGAGGGAGAGATTTAATTAGACGGCTTTGCCTAGGGAACATTGTTAACTATCCAATCCCTAGTTACCAACTCGGCTAATTTAATTCCTTTTTTTTTTTTCTTTTCACCATAAATTTATTAACATTTTAATAAATAAATCAGTAATTTAAATTATTTTGTAAATATATTTCCCATATTTTTATTCCCTTCTTCCTAAGCTCTCATGGTGACGTGACGGAATCACCTAGGATCAGCTACAGCGCGGGCCATCATATGTTTTTGTGAAATGACCAATTCACCCTCACTTTACTACACATTTACCAAAATACCATTCTCTTCCATCCTTGAATAATACGAAAAATAATACATAATCGAATGATTAATTTCATTCCTACTAAAGTCACCCATTAAATGCTAATTAGAGTAAAATTCAATAAATCGCTTCCCCAACCGGCTATAAACCCGTGATCATTCTCTAAATTAGCCGATGTGGTACTTTCATCCACCACCTCCCCTTAATCGAACCTCGACTCCTTTTTCTTTCTTTTGGAGTCTTCGAACAAAGAACACCCTTTGTTCAATACTTTAGTCACTTTTTGACTATACCTTCGAGACTCACAATACTTTGTTCAACATTTGAGATTTCTATTGACACAACTAAGTTTATGGCCCGACTCTGATACCATGTTAAAAATGAGAAACATAACCGGGATCAAAAGTCCAACAAATATAAGTATTAACTTTCCATCGTTTTAAATTTTTCTTAGTCATTTTATCAACATGATACATACTCGAGTGTCACAAAAACCTAAGAACAGTGAGACGGTTATTTTGTTCGCTAATATTAAAGGTATCTCATTTAAATTAATACATACTTTATTGTTAAAACATTTTCATTAATTAGAGTTAGTATGAGACAAATATATATAATATATATAGTGATATTTAATTGTTAATCGAGGATCCATCTTTTTAAAAATAAATCGATTATTGATATTACGAATATTACTTGCAAATCTGATCTGTATTTTTTCTTTTTATTTTTTTATTATTATTTAATGATTTTGATTTTGTAGCCATATCTTACAACTGGAGTTTGGTGGCTAAGAGAAATTAATTAATAAACAATCTTCATTCCAACAACATCATCTGTCTTTTATTTTTTTCAAACATGCAATTAATCGATATTTGAAACTAACTCATCTTATAATTTTTGTTAAATATTATTGGGAGTGATTAGTTATAAGTGAGGAATACTATCTCCATTGGTATGAGGTATTTTGAGGAACTACAAAGCAAAAAAATGAGAACTTGTGCAGTCTGCTTCCTAACCATTTTTATTTTTATTTATGTCGTATAAATATTTAAATAATTCGATAATTCGAACAATTCAAAATATTATTATTATTATATTTATTTTTTTTAATTTATTATTATTATTATTATTTGAACAATTAAAAATATTTATAAATTCGAATATTATTTTAAAAAGGGTTGGGTTGGGGAAATCAAAAATTAATTTATTATTATTATTTTTTAAAAATTAAAAAAAAAAAAAAACATGACATAAATGTTTGTGTGCCAAATTTAGGGACGCAAAAAAATAAAAAATAAAAAGGAAAGATGAAATAAATAAAAATAATTTGGTCGAAAAGGGAAAAAGAAAAGGCGTGGGGTCACGTGCTCCCGCTACACCCAACATCTGACCCTTTTAACTATATATATATATATATATATATATATATATATTTTTTTTTTTTTTTTTTTTTTTTTTTTTTTTTTTTTTTTTTTTTTTTTTTTTTTTTTTTTTTTTTTTTTTTTTTTTTTTTTTTTTTGGTTTAATTTT